CAGCAAGGTTGTCCACCGCGTCTACTGAAACCATCGGCTGTAGCTCTATTCCTTGAGCCCAACGACCTAGCACCTTTGCAAAGTCTTCGAGGGCGTCGTCTGTCACTCAAAACAGTTGGCCTGTTTTGATAACAGCTCTAGCTTTCGAGTCCGGACGGGGGTCGTCTCCTGCAAGAGTTCTGTGGTCCGATGTCGAGTCAAGCTCTATCGGGACGTCTGCAAGGGCTCCCGCGTTAGACTAAACTAGGTCGAGTGTGTTTCCAAGATCGTGAGTCGAGACGCCCGGGGTCGAAGATAGGTCCATGCCGTGCTCGGACATCCATTTGGCGAGTACTTGGCCGTCACCGTGTAGCCTGGTGGCCATGGGCTGCCAGTCAGGGTGGACGGTATTGAAATCACTGCCAACTACTGTGGGCCCAGACGGGGCACATGGTAGGAGCGGCGAAAGGTCTGCTCCAGGAGCGCGATACACAGAGATAAACGTGACTCCTTCAAACTTTACGGCGGTAAGATCTGGTAATGCCTCGCAAATTGCTAGTTGTAGGCACTTGGTCCCTTTTCGCGTATAAATGAGGTAGCGTGGCCTTGCGGGGTTGGCTGTGACATGGGGGGGCAAGTGCTTGTCGAACCCGGGATGCGACTTGGTGAGCCAGAAGCCGTCCTTGTGTTGAGTCCAGGGTTCCTGTATGAGTAGGACATCGGTTCCTGAATCCCAGGCGGATTGCAGGATGATGTCTCTAGCGGGGTCTCCTCTGCCCAAATTAGCGCAGAGGAACAAGATCGTTGTTGCCATTGTGTGTAGCTCGGTAAGGTTGTGGTCCCTTACGGGCATTGAGCAACGTTTGTTGTTTCGTTTTCGGCAGTCGCCTCAGCGGCTTTCTGCTTTGCTTCCAACTCTCGGATCGAAGCGTTTCTTTCTTTTTGACCTTGTTCCCGGATCACCGACAGCTAGTCTCTTGTGCGTTGCACAGTCTTTCCGCCGGCCCGCGTCGGCCTGGCCATGCAGCTAGGCTCGGTCGCGGCATGTGGCCCATGGCAATTGATGCACTTTGGGACGAGCTGTTTGCACTCAGTAACCTTGTGCTCAATCGATCCACAGCGAGAGCAGCGCTCTGCTCGTGAATAGATCTTAGTTGGGTGGTGTCCCCAGCATCGGTTGCATTGCGCAATTTTGGCTTTACGCTGAAGTTCGTGTAAGCGACCGCTCTCTTCGAAAAGTCTTTCTCCCAGCTTTGGCTTGCCAGTTGCAAAATGCAAACTCAGTCGGTGGACGGCCTAGCCATGCTTGTCGCAAAGGCACGAGCCGAGGTCGGTCTAACGCCTGTCTTTAAGGTCGCTTCATCCATTACCATCTCCAATGTTACTGGCGTTGGTCCTTCTAAAGTGAAGAGTCTGTCTGGTACATTAGGCGCCAACACTGAGATCCAGTTGGAAGCAGCTTCCAGTTTCATTTCCGTGCTCTCCAGGAGTACGGCGCCTGAGAGGAGCGCGTTTCTTGCTCCGTCTCCTTCAGCTAGTATCGCAAACCCTGAGTTGACGATGGTAACCTGCTTAATTGCTGAGTTAGCTAAGCGCAGCTTGCTTGCGAGGCTCATTTTAATGTAATGAGGAGACATGCGTCTCCATGGGTGGTCGGGCTTGACACGCAGGAAAACACGCTCGTCTGGGCGAGCTAACTTGGGAGCTGAGGCAGTAGGCCTCGGAGTTTGTGTGAGCCCTGTCGCTTTTGACTTAGGCTCGCTGGCTGGTTGCGATTTTGTCGCTACTGGTGGTGCGGGCTTAGTCTTTTTTCTCACTACCTGAGTCCAAGACCCCTCAGTAACGATGGGGATTTGTATAGAATCGATATCGATTGGCCTAGTAGGCTTTGTCGAGGCCGGCTCTTTGCCTTTCGCCTGGCTACTTTCTCTCGTGAGTATTTGCACTGGTCGTGAAGTGCTCGCGCTATTCTTTCCTCCCGGCCAAGTAGCCGACGCAAGGAGGGTTGTCGTCTTGCTGCTACTGGCAGCCTCTGATGGCTCACTGGATTGGGGCTCGGGGTTTCCGCGCAGGATGTTTGTGATAATGGCCTGTAAAGCCTCTCCATTCTTTTCGACAGCTCGTCGGAGTTGTTTGTCGGTTGTGGCCGCCAGTAGGTTAATGTACCCACTGACGATACGCTCAGCCTCTGCAAAGCGTGCCGCCAGTAGGTTAAACATCCTCGCTTCATCTGCGAGGATGTTAGTCAAGGAAGCACCCATTGACTCGGGGGGGTTGGGGGCGAGTATTGGCAGCTCGCCTCGCAGATCGGTTCTGCGTTTGCTTGTGTGTTGTTGTAGTGGTGGTTAGGTGGCCCTGTGAGGACCATTTCGACGTCCGGACGCGTCGAATTCACAAGTGGGAGGGGGGGCCAAGAGCCAGCCTCTGCGGAGGACTGGGGCGGCATGGCAAGGAGCAAATCAGAGAAGGCTGAACAGTAGATAATCGCGTGTCTGGCGCGTGATTGAGAAGTGTTCTATGCTGCGGTGCATCTACAGCAGGATTGAGGAATGTAAGAGTGAAAGTATAGATGAGGGATGAAGTTCTGATTTTGTCGAGCCGAAGGTAATGCCTTCCCATCCTCTCCAGCCTAATGCTTCCGCCAGCGAGTGAGAGAGAGCTGTGAAGTTATTCAGGAGCTTAATCCCAGTCTCAAAGAGAGCAACATCATCTGCATAGCCACTTCCTGTCCTCTTCATTCCCATCTTGAAGAGCGGGGAAATGTAGAGCATGAGTCGGATGGGCGAGGCTGGTGATATTATGATTATGAGCTATGCGGAAGTCATATTGCGGAGTGATTAGGAGTATGTCATATTTAGTGGTTGACATTAAATAGACTCATACAAAATCATGCTGTAGGTATGTGGACAGGAATTATGAGATTAAACCTATGTCCGTTTATTATGGGTACAACTTTTGAACAAAATACATGCTCGCCTAACCAGTACATTAGAGTTGTATGCTGCGTCCTTGAGCTAGACGCAATATCCTAGTCTCGACTACCTTGTTGTCTCATATCTTAACAAGTGAGCCTCGTGGAAGACCGCAATTCACATGTTGTGGGGGACCTGTTGCTCCATCGAAACAGACTCACACCGCACATCGAACAGCGTGAGGCAAAGAATCCCGTCCAGCGCACCAGGTTTTCAGGACAATCTTGCTCTTGTAGACGGCGGATAATTCGTCTCGGATATACGGCGCCGATGGCTACCTTGTCATCAATGGTAAATATACTGAATGAAGAACCGTCATGAAATGCCTTTGCTGCATCGTGAGTAAGTCAGGTAGTTAGATTAACAGCCGATCTGCCTGGGAGAGCGCCGAATCGTTGGCTCGATACCACCTTAGACTACAATGAGCTGATAGTTGGTCGCGAGGCTTAGCGCAGCTCGCCGTGTCGCTCCTAAGGTTGACACGCCTGTATCTAAGATGGACAAGTGAACCGACATATCATTGAGAGATCCATTGCGTACGCGTAAATGTGAATATTATCGACCGACAGTAATATTTATGTCGGTAAATGGATCATATTAGGGAACTATGAATTGTTCAAACTAATTGCGGTATTCAGGTTGTCGTTTGGACACTGACAGGGACCCGACTTAGCTCATTAGCGAGGCGCTTGGAGTAAAGGAAGAAAGGGCAGAGGGAGAAGGAAAGAGAGAGACAACATTTTATGTATTTCGAGATACCAGTTAATTGACACTATACACCGACTTCGTGACGGACAGCTGACTTCGTGACGGCACCCAATTTGTATTACTTCGTGTTTTCCCAACAATTTATAACCACTTGCAGCCGGCACTGACGAATTCTTCACCTACCAGTGGTGCCTGTGTAATCGCTCAGTATGCTCTGCATATCTAGGATAGCCAAGAAGAATAGCATCCGAATCGAAGTCGAAAGTAACTTCAAGCATATCTCCATTTGACAACTTGTCAACACTGTCTCTCTTTCCATTCTCATCTGAGTTCTCAACCACTTTCTAACCAAGCATCGTCTCACCTGAACGACCAATAAACAACTTGCTCCAATTGTAGACGGCAGCTCATCCCATTAATTACCAGCAATCACCCACTACAAATTTACTACGCTACGTATACCCGTAAGGAGTAAACCAAGTGGAAAATACAAAACCAGAGTCCTGGTATATGGAGGACTGATTCTCTATTAGAACAAACAACTCGAAAGAAAATAGGCGACTTAGGCGTTGAAAGGTGTAAGTAAGAGACCTCCCTTTGGACTAATAGGTCAGATATTTTCGAGTGGTTTTCAACTTTGGAACGTTTGCGGGCGCCAAGACTGAGATTTCGACTAATTGTCCAGGAGGACTTCTATTGTCGATAAGTCAACGGCACTCCCCAGCGCCCTGGACGGTACAAAAGAAGTTGAGCTACACTACCAAACAGCAATCACGCTCTGTCAAGAATTTCCCGAGATTTCAGCTCGATCTTCGGGGAGGAGTTAGAAGGAGGCTAGAAAGGCAGAGGGTGAATTTCTCGAGGTACACGCAAGTCCGCAGCGCCCAGCTGACTGGCCCCTTCGAACGCTTCAGACGGATCACTTTGTCTTCGGATCTAGTCCTAATTTCGGTATTAGATGAGCCCCGCACCCAGTGATTTTTGGGAATTTTTGGGATGGCCATCGTTTAGTTGGCCGGAGAGGGGAAATCTTGAAGAGCGAAGGGCTACTCTAAGGGTATGATCGAACGAGGACTTGTGAAGGGTGGTACAGTTTGAGAGGACCTGCATGTCCTACATAGCCATGGATTCAGACAGGACAATAAAATGAAATAAAAATAAATACTTGCATGAACCCAAAGGGCGCCAAATTAGGTTAAATAAATTCGAAATTCATCATGTAGCTAGTTATCCACACAGCAGAGAAAATCGTCTAAAGTTTCACGCTAAAATTACAAAATTACCAAGTGCCATACTAACGCACTCGTAGAATACAGCTTTTAATATTTCTGCTGTTGATCACTAACTGGACTTCTTGTTATCGTCTGAGTTTTTGTTGACAAACTTCTGAGAACGGTCTTTCATCGTTTCCAGATGTTTCTTGTGAGTAGCCTTCTTCTCTGCTACCAAGAGCGGAAGTACCTCGGGAAGAGAAAAGAAAACGCTTGGCCAATAGAGAACAAACTTATTATGTTGCCTCATCAAACAATACCGTAGCCAGACTCCCCAAGTTAGATAAAAATAACTCCCCACACCGGTCATTAAGTGCCTGTTCCAGTTATTAATTTGACGAATAGTCATCATTTGATCTTTGTGGAATTGACTTACCACCATCCATGCCCCTCCAAAAGTAGACCCCATGGTAAACCAATTTCATGTCTCCAGCGAAGAAGCGTTGAGCAATAGACATTGTCTAGAGCCCAAATTCCAAATCCTGCCAGAAATATAGAAAGACCAAGACTCACCATCAACCACATTTCGTTAACAATACTCAAATCACTAGTTTTCCTCCAAACTCCACTGGGTATCGTTCCTTTGACCACTTTATTTTTCATATCCGCGCTGTGTATTTTTTGCATGGAAGGTCTAACTTCAAACTCCATGATATACATACTGCGAAGAAGGACTATAGTGATTAAAACTGCAAAGGCATTCTGGTGAAAAGTTGGGTTTTGAAGGTAGTGATAGCATAGCTGTTGATGTCATCAGTTTGGGTTTATCTATATAGGAAATAGAAGCTTGCGGTAATAGATATAGCCAAAAAAGATAAACAAAATCCTAGAAGTTGCCGGTAGAGTCGAGATTTTTCGTATGAAAAAGTTGCATAACACATGATACAGGTTGTGTATATCATGGAAAGCTCATCAACTAATTGCATCGAGTCTGTTGCATGTATTAGATCACACCTTTGTAGAAATTTTATCTTCAGGGTTGAGTTCATACATTTGAGCGTAGTGTGGAAGGCAAAACTGCCTATTCCCACGAGCATGTCTATCGTCATCAGCCGGATTCATGAGAAATTTATAGATTCTCACAGCCCGAAAATGCTACAGCAAACACATTATCATGTTTGTACTTGATACAATTCCTCAACCCCTTTACACCCAGTATAATGAAAAGTATGTTCGTGAGGGTGTTGACTATTTCTGCGGAGTAGATTGTTGCATAATAATCTTCTGCAAAGTTCAGGCTGATTAGCCTTAGTCTCAAATTGTTTGCTTGTGTAGAAGATATTTACCTTCACACCAATTTATAGTTGATGTCACTGGTCCCCAGACACCGTCTCCAGGACGTGCCGGGGGATAATTGTATGCGGGAAGTGAAATCCCCATATCAGTTTAATTGGAACGTATTACAGCTCCTGGCCTTGAATGGGCTTGTGATTATCCTGAGAATGTAGGGTTATATGGGCATGGAAGTGTGATAGACTCGTTGCGCCCTACTCATTGGAAGGGAAAGTACGCACGCTGAGCTGAAAGAAATAATTTATTGAATTTAATATACACCTTTCGATTCAAAAGTTCCCCATGAACACGATCAATGCTGGCAGGATCTTCGTCATGTCAAGAATAGCGAGTAGAATATTTTCGGTGATTTTCAATTACTAGTTTCCCAGTGACCTCAGTACCACCACGTAGCTACAGTTGTACCTGCTAGGCAGTAAGGTATGAGATCGGATGGACATGGGCCGTCTTATTGGTGGGGCAGCCCCCCGTCGCTATTTATTAGCATAAGCTGCTGCTTCTTAGCCCTTCGTTATGCAAGTGTGGCGAGGAGTAGCCCCGACAAGGGTGCGCAACATGTGGCTAATACCCGGCTAGTCATAATTGGTTACTCAGCATACGTCAGAGCTACGAGATGCCTGCAAGAACTAGCGAGCAAACAACAAAGTTTAGGATTTCTTGCACTACATAGAAGCCGCTTTCTAGCTTCTCCGGGCAATCGAAGATAATCTAGACAATCAAGGACCCAACTAGTGGATATAAATTATTACATTCATAGGTTGCTGAAAATGCACGCTGAGCCACTGTGAACCCGAGGGACTATTCTCAATACCCGTCAGAGGTATCCTCTACGAACCTCGAGCTCTCACTGTAGAGTCTCCAGAGCCGAAATTGAGTAACAAAGTCCTCACTTCGATGAGGATTCCCAATCGTTTTCCCGGTCTGTATCGTCTTAATATCTCAACACAATCCCTCTATCACCGTTATCATGAAGCTAACCACGATGAGATCAGACGGTAGGGTCCGAGTGTTTTACTTGGTATATGAAATGGGAATGTACACTTGCGCTGGAACAGCTAAGACAGTATGTGGAGAGATGTCTTCATTAATGTGCAGAAGTGAAGTGACTATGATAATTATTATGTTACAGATTTGGGGGAAGCTCGTCCCTTATCCCCTAGCTTGTTTCCCTGTAGACCAATCACGTTACCAGTATGCAGCTCACCAAAGTGTGCAACCAACTGAGCAGCCATGCCATTTATCCTATATCAACAACCCATCTCTCATACTGCACACATTCCTACTTGTAATGTCTTTATGTAGAGACTGGATCTCCTTCATGTGCCATGATGCCATGCTGCCATAATAACTACCTATGCACCAGCTACTAGATCTACCATACTACATAGCTGAGCATAACACCGAGCCCTACTCATCACCGATCCTTGATCATGGTGAAAAAGCCATCTGATGAGTTTCCGGAGCGTACCCAGCACCCGATACGGAGATGGTGGATTGGATCAAGTCGACCTCGACTGATACAAAGAAGGGAGATATAGATGAATATGCGCACCTTACGTGGTCTCAGTGTCTTTGTCTCAGCTGGCTGGGGCTGCAGGCGTTTTGAAACATTTTCCGGCGTATGCAGTTTCTGTTGCTTCCTATCTTTTCGGGTAGAAGGTTCCGTGGAAAAGGCTGCCGAATTCCATGGGTAAATACTGAGCTGAATGGCTATTCATCACGGACAATATATCAATGATCTTTCAAGTAGCAAAAGAGGCAAGAATTACTGTACAAGGTGTGGCCCGGGTCAGAGAGGAGCCCAAAGTGCCAAAAAGTCTATGACTCAAGTAGTACAATAAAAACACACACTACCGAGAAAGAAAGGCTGGTAGCGTTTCTTATGCAGGATCATGTAATAGTTCTTTGAAAGATTTCCACACTCTTGCTCATTGTAGTCATTGGAAATATCACACAATGAAATGGGCGCAATATTTACGGAACGAATGTGGGGTTGAGTAAAAAAGTATTATTGGAATCTTATCGTGTAGTTGATGATACTAGAATGATATGAATAATGATCCTGATAATATTCGATTGATTGCTTGCTTAAAGTTACTTCTATCTGAACATGAAGATATCGCTATATAATATACAAGTTTCTTGTGCTAACCTTTATCCCACTTGACTACGCCAGTACTACTTGATCTTCAACTGAGACTCATTGACTCAGTTACCGCCCTGCCGGCAAAGACGAATTCTTCATCTTCCAGTGGTGCCGGTGTAGTCGCTCAGTATGCTCTGCATATCTGGGATAGCCAAGAAGAATCGCATGTGAATCGAAGTCGAAAGCAAACACATCCATATCTCCATTTAACGACTTCTTAACCATGCAGCACTTACCATTATATTCCAAGTCCCCAACCCCGATCTAACCACATATCATCTCGCCTCGCCGACCGGTAAAGGCGTCACCCCAATCGCAAACAGGAGCTTGCCTCATTAATCTCCAGCCATCTCTCACTACAAATTTACGACGCTATTTATACCCGCAAGGAGGAATAGAATAGAATAGAATTAAATTTAAGTCCCTACTGAGTCTATGACTATGAAGGACCCCGCATGGAGGAAATTAAGTCATAATATACTAAGTTGGGGTCTTGGTTTATGGGAGACTGATGCTCTAATGGGGTTATACATCTTGAGGAAGAGCAGGCGGCTGAGATGTGGAGCGAGAGGGGGAACAGGTCTCTGAAGAGCATGCTGGGACCGATATTTTCGAGGAGTTTTCAACTTTGGACTCTTTGTGGGCGCCAAGACCAAGATTTCGGCTAATTAGCCAGGAGCGCTTCTTTTGTCGATGAGTCAACGCCACTCCCCAGCGCCCTGGACGGTACAAAAGAAGTCGGGCTAAGCTGCCATACAGCAATCACGCTCTGTCAAGACTTTTCTGACATTTAAGCACGACCTTCGGGAAGGAGTTGGAAGGAGGCTAGAAAGGCAGAGTGTGAATTATCCGAGGTACCCACAAGTCTGCAGCGCCCATCTGGCCGGCCTCTTCGAACGCATCGGAAGGGTCACTATGTCTTCGGATTTAGTCCTAATGTCGGTATTAGAAGAGCCCCGCACTCAGTGGTTTTTGCGAATTTTCCCGGTTGCCATACACCCGCAAATGACCATCACTTCGTTGGCTGGAGAGGGGAGATAATGAAGGGCAAAGGGCCCCTCTTAGTGTATAAACGAATGAGGACTTGTGAGGGGTGGTACTGTTTGAGGGGTGCTGTATGGGAGGCATAGGACGGGATATACTACTGGCATAGGTATCCTTGGCCTGTAGGCAGAGAGGACCTGCATGTCCTACAATGTCATAGACTCAGACAGGACAATAAAAGAATTAATAAAGGTTGTTGATATATTCTTTCATCCTGCAAAGCTGTTGAATTATCCATATAACTTACCATGGTAAATGCTTTAGGTTACCTCATAGCAGATGCACGTGATTATGGAACTAAACCGTGGGGTGTTTAATGTGTAATGCATGTGTGGATATTGTGGACCAAACTAGAACTCGATGGAATAGAGATAACGGAATCAGCGAAAGACTGATGGACTGAGGGAGAACGAGCTGGCCATTTCTCGTAGGAGAGAAATGATATCACAAGGGAATGTTCTAGCACTAGGCTGTGAACAACACAGTAAGTCTGGAGCAAGATACAAGGAGGTCTCAACTTCCGCCCATTCATTGTTATTAAGTTTCCTTTATACGAGAATTTAGATTTAAGTCTTACATATCACGAGAATACACGCGACAGCTATTAAAGAGACCTACTGTGAGCACAACTTCCCCAAGAGTATCCATCGTCCTGCTCCTATTTAGCCTAGTCAGTACAACAAAAGCAATCAAAATGGGTACAATTAATACTAGAATTTTCATGAAATGAGCAGCTGTGAACATCCTTCTTCTTGGATATGATCTAAAAAGAAGGCACTGAAGAGGATATGCCATCTACTGCACAGGTATCTTTGGTCTGTGTGCAAAGAGCACCGAGATACCCATGGCAGTTTTGAGTAACGGAGCGATGACTACTTACAAAGTCAATGTGAACATTATATACTGATATAATATTGTGGATAGGAATCCGTATATACAGTAAATAGTGGAATTCAAAAGTACCCAATGGTATTTGTGCGTAATCATTGTGCTCCTCTAGTCTATGATATCTAGCATGTTGGTCTTCTCTCTGCACAAGGTGAAGCCTTGCGCAGAGCTCCGACCCTCTTTTGTTTCTTGAATGATAAGCGTACGCTAGAAGTCGGTATATTTCCTTATTTTTATTGCCTATCGGGCGGCTGCGAGCGCTAAAGAAGTTGGAATAATTGGGGCTATCAAGAAGGCTTTGTTGTTGGGAAGCACGCGATCAAAATTATGTACTTAGTTTCGCATCGGAAGATACCAAAGTACCCTTGTCTTACAACCTCAATGACTGAAGGATTTGAATTTGATATCATCATCCTGATTTGGCACCCTATGGGCCTAAAAAGGTGTCTACAGTCTATGATATTTACGCGGGAGGAAACCTTTATGATGAAAACCGCCCACACCTTTCCACTACTTGTCTTAAGTTTTCACATATTTTCTTCAGGAAGCGCAGTTACACTATAGTGCCATCCATGTAAACCAACCAGATCATTTCTATCCACCCCAAGTATTACATGCCCTATTACTTTCCCTCAGCGGCATTTCGACCGCCCTTATCATCTAGTATTGCTCTATTCACCCATGATTTAGGATCCACGATGTTATCCATTTAATGTCTCCAGGATTGTTTATCATCGCTTCATAGGACCGATCTTTGACTTGTCTCCAGATCTCAGCTCTACCATTTGACCATTGGGGGCAGGACATAATCATATGCTTGGGGCTCTGTGATTGGTAGCCGCATGGACAACCTGGACTTAATACTCCGGGTACGTTTGTTCTGTGTAAATACGAGTTAAGCCCCATGTACTCACTTCGCATTTGCATCGCCAAACTGCCTTGGGCCCTGGTCAGGTTACGATGTAGAAAGAATGGGGAGTCTTGAAGACTCAGTTTTTGCCGTCCAGAC